TCTCTCTCACTTTGAACTTTAAGTTCAATACTTCTGGGACTTGGCGCTTGGGTAGGAAGGGAAAGCCCTTCCTCAATGTTGTTTAAAATTATTTCAAATTATTTGACACAACGAAGAAAGATTTAGGTTCTGCAACTAATGCCAGACTAAGAACAAATTATTCGTGAAAGCTACAAATGTTTAATGATTTGATTTGAAGGTGCCAAATCCTTTGAACCTTTCAAAGACTAGGTCCTTGTAAGAAACTTACAGTGAAAGTAGAAAAGCTTGTTTCTTACTTTCTTAGACGCTATTTCCCCTTTTCTGTTGGTGCAACAAGAAAGACGGCTTGTCAAGAATCCCCCCGCTTCTATGTGTACCCGTGCGCGCCCACGCCACCGCCCTCGCCCTCCTTCCTTCCTCTATCGCCCCCAGGCTCTTCCTATGTGGTACGAGTTGGTCGGTCCTGCCGAGTATCCGCCGGGCTGGCGTGCTGGCGAGGCGTCGTCGAAGGGGGGCCGAGCGGCGGGGGCGCGGTGGCCGGCACCCACCCTGTCCCGCCACGCCCCCGCCACGCAAATGCTCAACAGCTGTGAAGGGCTTGGCCGTCCATAGAGAGGGATGAGGTCCCTATCCTATACCCTTCCTTCAGCCCTTGCTCGGCCGTGCTGCCCCCAGTTGCCGCGCCCCCGCGTCCCCGCGCACCCGCTGCTGGTGCCCACCGGCTTAAGGGCGAACCGCGCCACGCCCCGCCACGCCCTGACCCCGCGCCGCCCCCGGCCTCGGTCCACCAAGCTAATTTCATTTCTTCGAGTTGGGGCCACCAGAGGGGGAGAGGCTGGAGGAACAGCGGGGTGGGGCGGGGCGGGCCCGAGAAGTGTGTTTTGGGAGGGCGAGCGCGCGGCACAACAGAAGAATGCCCGCCGGGACGGAGCGAGGGAAGGAGAAACAGGTCGCGGAGGGTTCCCGCGCTCCCCTGCTTCTTTCCTTCGTCCCCATGATGACAACGGTGGTGTTCGGGACTCGCGTCACGTAGAGGTGTAGCAAAATGGTTCCGGAGGCACATGGGGAGAAAAACGGGCGCTGACACATTCTCGTCAGCGGCGAGCAACCTATCAGGCGTCGCAAGTATACGCACCGGGATCGTAAAGAAGCAGCGTGCTTTGCTAGATCCGGCAGTGTCGAAAAAACTTACAAGAAGATTTAGGTAGGAGTAGTTCCCCGATTAGGTTCAAACTCGGTATATTTGCTTCTTTTCCGTGTAGATGACTATTGCGCGTCAAATTTTATGCGAAAGTTCATATGTCAAAACTCCCTATAGAGGCCTATAGTTCCAAAAAATAAAAATTTCATGTTAACAACTATGAAGTGATATTCCGACTCAGAATGTGTGTTGGTCTTTTTTAAATGTTTTTTTTTTTGGGTAAATTTCTTGCGGATAAAGAAGCTGATGGTAAGAATCAGTTCAGCATTTCTCTCTACCTGTAGTGAGCACACATTGTAGATCTGCCTGCTTATAGCCATCCAGACTCTTGGAAAATCGGAGGAGTAATGTAGCTCTCTTGATCACTTGATTGTTGCTTTCTTTGTTGCACTTCCTGTTTATCTCTCTGGAGGGAGAAACTATCATCCCACTCATCATTTGTTATGTTATATATTCCCCGTAGCTCATGTGCTGGGAGCTTGAATTAGGGATAGTTACCTTAAATTATGTGAACAGAAAATTCAGTTCAGTATTTGTTGAGGATGTCATTGCTGTGTTGTTAAAGAGTATTAGAAACATGCTTTTTTAGCCTCTCCTTTTAAAACTATTATTGGAGACAAAAAAAAAAGTAGAAGTCTCATTCATAATAATGGAAATTAATTTTGCTTATTTAACGGAAAAAGTTGCTTCTTAAATTCAATTAGGTCTTTGGAGCTAGTACAAAAGGTGGTGCACATTTTGCTTATGACATTTGTGGAACCCTTCTCATTTGCTTCTGGAACACCCCATTGCCTTTCACTTCCTGTAAGACAATCAAACCTATTGCTAATAATAAAGGTATCTGAGTTTGAGGCTCCATTCAAATATAAATATTCATTTCATTTGATTTTTCTGCTGTGTGGTATTGCAGAACAAGATTTGCTAGAAGAATGCAGAAAGTGTGTTCCTGTACATAAAGTGTCTTAAAGCTGTTCAACTAAAAGTGTTGTTCAGCTAATTGCGTAGCTTGGTCTATCAAAACACAAAAAAAATGATCTGCTTCCAGCACTCAGTGTCTGCTTTATCACAGCATTAATGTGATGATGTCTGATGACGTCTTCATTGTGCACATTATAGAGAAACTGTGGTATTCCTATAGCTAATGTGTTCTCTCATCAAGGTAATCTAATCTATTACTGATAATTTTGTTTTTAATAATTGAAACCTCTTTTTCTTTTTCCCTTTTTTTTTCGAGGCTAGGATCCTGGAAAGCATACAAGATTTACTTTTCTCACGCACTTCTTCAGGTTGACCTGATGTGGGAGATTTTACTGGAGAATTAATAAAATTTTAACTAGATAAGAAGCCAAGACTTAGCTGGCATTAGTTATAACAGCTAGTAACAGATAATAGTTGACAGGTTAAGATAGTGTTTTGCTACATTTGCTCAAAAGTCTAAAAGGAAATACAAAATCACTAAAGGTATTTAACAACATTTTCCACATCTTATGGTACAATAATTTTAAAGAACACTTCAAGCAAAAAGTGCTCTTTTTGCAGGCACAAACATGTGGCTGAGAAAAAATATGACTATGTACAGTTAATTAACAATGATAAAAATGCATTTGGCATTTAAGGTAAAACTACCAAAGGCAACTGACTTGCAGTCAGCCAACGTGGAAAATCACAATATGCATGACGAGCTTAGTATTAAAAAGTAAAGAGTCTGGCACCTGCATATTTGACCATATAACAGGTGTATCAGAGCGGATGCCGCAGTCTTCTTGTGGTGTTGTCGACTCCCTGCACCATGGCCCCTGCCGCCTAAGAGGGTACCCGCAACTAGCACTGAGGCGTCCACTGTGAAACACCCGGGCCGGTATGCACTGTGGTTGTCGTATGCATTCTTTGCGTGCAACTGTTGATTTCATTTGTATATCAACTACGAGATGAACTCAGCCCTTCACTTTAAAATGTTAACTGCAACTACTGTACTAATGTCAGAGTGCAAGAAAATGATGTGAGAGACCTACAAGATAACACAACAGTTTCTCCATTTAAAAAATTACGTAACAATGCCATCCTTTACCTTTAGACTCTCTTTCGAGAAAGGATTTCAGTGCATTTAAATTAAGTTAGGCAACAATTTGGTGGTTCCAAGCTTCCTAATGCCAACTTAAGGAAATACAAAATACTAAACATGTTCGTTCCGTTCCCTCAGCAAAATTTAAATTGAAATCATTGTTTGAAGGGAAAAATAAAAAGTGTACACACATACAGAACTAAGCAAATATACGCTTTCTTTTTATAAAATATAAAATAATTTTGTACATCAAAGGCCAAGGAATGATTTTGAACCTCTTAGATTAATGTTCCTTTTTGGAAAGATAGAAAGCAAAAAGAAACCAAAAGGTTTGAAAAAAAAAGTTAAAGCTGAAGGTGAGTTAATGAAATGATGCTTTAAAGAGAAATGGGGCTATATTTTTCTGACACTTGTAAACGGGCATTAGAGCTTTACTCACCAAAATTTCACTTCACCAAAGAGTTCTGTAAGATTTCAAGGAGAAAGAAACAAGGAAAATGGAGTGGATACTCACTCGTCATGAAAGAAACATCCTTTAAATGCTGTTCATTTTGGCATGACCTTTCCTAAGTGAAATCAACCCAGTAGAACAATTGAAGATTTGTTCTTTAAATATATTTTATTATTGAGGGTTCCGTCGATTGCGGACATACCTGAGAGGGGGAGGCTCGGGTACATTGCGGTCATTGAGGAAAGAAAGGGGGGTCCGCTATCGCTCCATGCAACGCTTCTCTGATAGTGATTTTGCTTATTCACTGTATGAAATAAGTTTTGCTAGTTTAGGTTTGCTCCCTGTTATTTAAAGACGGCGGCCACAAATAGAGTGGATACTTTAGCTATACGTTTTGTATTTTAAAGATAAAATTACTATACGTGCCTAGGAGGGCCCTGGCTCATCCGTTCTGCCACATTAACTTTTTTCAGTAATGAAAAGATGCTCTTTCTGCACTGTGTCGACAGTGCCGCGTTATTACTTTACGTCCTCGGCGTAGTGGGGCATGCAAGCCTCCGAGGAGGTAGGCAACCCAACGCGCCCGCCCGACAATGTCCGCAATAGACAATTTCTCTTTTCTCCCGCGTAATCCCCCCCCCTTTTTCCCTCAATGTCCGCAATCGACAGTCCAGGTGCCTACTCTCTCAGATATGCTCGCAATCGACATACACTCAATTAATGATTTTTGGTGCGTCGGGGTAAACTGCTAGCTGCAGAGATTCAGGTGGAGTTAAGAGGGTGAGGGGTAGGACTCGGGATAGAATAGGTACCGAATGACGAACAAATTTTTGCTATTCAGAGGATTTTTAACAGTTTTCAGCGAAAAAATATCCTACAGTTCCAATTCCAGGGCGTATCCTCTGATTTAAAGTGAAACCTGATATATTCTATACTTATACGCCACCCGAACTGCCTTGTAAAGAGTTCATCCGGAAGCACCCGAACCTTCAAAACTCTTAGTTAAGATAACGGAAGTTTTCTATAAGCTAATTAAACATGTTTCTCGCTAGCAATTTATTAAGAAGATAAAGATACAATTTTGGCCTAGGTATATCAGATCTCTCTCATTGGAATGTTACAAGATTTCTTGCGTGGTAAACCACCATTCGGCAGTTGACACTTGGCATTGGTCCCAACTGCAACAATCTTTCAAACGCCGCGAATCGCACCTCAACGACAGAAGAAAGAAATATAACAGTATCTACAAACTCAGGATAAAATATACATAACAATGAAAGACATTTCAACAACTACATTAAATATTTAACAATAACTACATTTAATAACTCTTTATAGTCAAATTAGAGAAATTAGCTCTATCACAATTTGATACGAAGTTAAAATGACCAAGACAAGTTGGCTTCTTCAGTATAAAATCAATAGGAATGTCATAATAGGTTTTAAGCTTACTTGTGCTTTTATTGCATGGTTCAAAAATATATGTATACCCAATGAAAACCAAGCCATTACCAATCCATTGATGAAGGGAGTGTTTCATTTAGTACTTAAAATATTCCCCTAAGCTGATATAGGAGCCAAAACAACAGAAGTTTGAGAAGGTTTAAAACAATAGAGTTCCGAGTGTAACGGAGCGAACACCCCAGTGCTGCGGATTTGCCTACTCCCTCCGCGGCCAAGGTGCCAGGGCCCCTGCGGCCTAAGAGAGTATGCAAAGCCCGTGATACTGAGGCGTTTGCTCAGTTTCACCCGGATCAAATACAATTAAGAAATAAATAATGTACAAACAGTCAGATCATGATTCTGAAGTAGCAAAGTTTCACATTCTGTGGTCAAAGGCCACTACAAGCCAAATAGCTATAAGTGCCTTGAAAGCAATAGTTGTAAAGCCTTAAAGAACTGTAAAGAGCTTTGAGAACTGCCAGTGTAACAAAGATCCCAAAACACTACACAGCAATAACTGAGCCACCTCAATGCTTTAGACCACGTTAATGGCTATCACGATCACAATTTTCATGTACCCCACCGGCGTCACAGTTCACTAACACCACTGCAGACCTGACCACCAGACATTCTTATCCTAAGAATTTTAACAGTAGAATGTAGGTTTTATCCGGAAGCTTCGATATTATTCAAATCAAGCAGCGTATACTCTCTGCTTGGCACAAGCACCACATGTGTAGACTCACTTTCTTCTCCCACAGTTCATTCAGTACCTCATTAGCAGTAGAAAAGGGGGTCAAAGAACCTGGAAAGGGAAGAGCCCATGGCAGGGGCAGGTGCAAGGGCGCAGTTAGTTAAGGCAGCTATGATGGCGCACGGAGTATTTGCGCCCGTTTCGCTACGTAAGGAGTATCGCATGGGTCGCGCGGGGTAGGGGCGACGAGCGCGGCAGCACTACAGCACTGTGTCCAGCGTCTCCAGTGACTGCAGGATCTGCTCATCGCGCGAGCACCACTCCACCAGCTCGTCGATCGTTACCACTCCGTCCTGGTTGGTGTCGATGAGCTGCGGCAGACAGCGGAGTATGCTCAATCTCTGTACAAACTGTGTGCAAACTGAAACCACCAAGTACTCTACTCACGTGGAATATCCTCTCGACGTGATCTTTGGCCGAAGTCTCCTCCACCATCGGAGTGGTGTTCCTGCCCAGCATGTCGTAGATGGACGACACCACCTCCAGCATCTCGGGCTTGGTGACCAGCCCGTCGCCGTTCTGGTCGTAGAGGCCAAAGATCCATTGCAGCTTCTCCTGGACAGAGCCACGAGAAACCTTGGAAAGAATGGAGAGGAAGTCCTGTCACCGGGGAGAAACAGCAGTCGTGATTAGTCTGGCCACAGTACGAGGAGTAGGCGCGCAGCTGAATCGTCGATGCAACGTCAACATACCTCGAAACTTATCTTCCCGGTGTGGTTATGTTTAATGGTGTTGAACACATAGTGAGCATATTGGGTGGCATCTGCAACAGAAACAACACACGAATTTTGTAAGACTGCCGGCAGGATGTGTCGCCTTCAAGCTAAGACTCTGCCACCACAACCGTCGCGCCGACTCGCTCGGAAAATGAAAAGACGGCGCAGGGGATTACGGTGGGAAATAAACGAGGTTTTCTCGAGTAATTAATGGGTGACGAGCGCGGGCGGGGCGGGGCGGGGCGGGGCCGGCCTGCTCCTGCCCACTAATGCCAAGTTCGCGTTTCGAGCCGAGCCGGGCCGGGCCGCCCGCCCCGCCCTCCTCCTCGCAAGCCCTCGCAGCCTGCCAGCAGCCCCAGCCACTGTGTCAGCACAAATCGTGCTCCTACGGAAGAGCGCCCCCGCCCGGCACTCCAGCTCCATCCCCATAGTCTCCTGCTTCCCCTCCTGCCTCTCTCCACGTCTACCAGCCCCCCCCTGCCCCCCTCCAAGATGACAAGGGAGTGACACTGCGCTCCGGCTCGGGAAAGACTTCCATGCCAATCATCGTTTAATTTGAATTTACTTTTCCGCCACGTTGCTTCGCTCTCGCGCGGCTGAGGCTGCCACAATAGGGGTTCGTGCTTTGTGTTTTCACAAGGCGTTCCCTGCGCAGCCCAGCTGTTGAGACACGTCACTGGATAAGGCTGCCAAACTCAGGCAGACGTTTTGACAAGAGACGTTCTCCTCTTAACCCGTTCCACTTTATCCTCGGCCCGCCCGTGTCCGGCCCACTGCCAGCCCTCCCCTC